GTGTGTATGGAATGGTATGAGGGCATGGGATAATATATATTTAATGCTTATAATTGTGTGTGAATGTTGAGTCATGATGTCGAGTGTATGTGTCGAGTCAATAGCGAGTTATCGCTAGACGCGTGTTACGCGGTCGTTTGTGTCTCGCGCGCGGTTTCTATTTTGTCGTGCGCGGTTTCTCTTTTGTCCTGTGTCAAACGTTCGGTGTGTCGCAGGTGTGTGCAGCAGACCCATCAAGAACTCAAGGATGAGTTTGTGATGAAGAGCCGAGCCTTGGTGTCAATCCACAAGTGACTTCAAAGCTCGCCAAAAGGGTACACCTCAAGATATTGAAGATAGTTACATTACTTTGTGTAGTGTAACATTTCACTTGGTGTAGGCCCAAGTGAAGGGTAGTTTCGAGACCCTTCGTGGTTGGGGACAGTGTGGCACTGTTCCACATCACTGTACCTTGGCTCTTGGGGTTTGTAGGAGCTGGGAGTCATTCCCAACTCGTAACTCTTCCTAACTCTTCCTATCTTGTGTTCTAAGACTATAGTGGCTGCCATAGTGCCGTTCGTTCAAATCAGCGCTGTGTCGTCAATACTTGATCAAATCGTGCGATCTAAATTGCCTATTGTAGGCGACAATAAGACGCTCCAGATCCAAGTTGAATCAAGTCATTTGAAGCTGTGACCAGAACGCTATGAACGTTTGAAGCCGCTGTGCAGAAATCCGACTGTGCACTCTATCTTTCGTTTTAGGCACATTGGAGCCTACTGTGACTATAACATACGTTAGGAACCCACTATCACACATGAACACTAAGTACTATGGGCCATGATCAGCTTGTCTCCAACAAGATGAGAAGTGCATGACTTGGCATAGCCTAACAGTAAGCATACGGGTTGAGAAGCTTCAATGTCGGATGTGTGAACGAGGTGATGATGTGCTCTGCTCGATTGATATCTGTCAGGTTGATGACCTTGTACGTGGCAACGCGGCGACCCACACCCAACTTGGTCGAGAACGTTTCATCATCCACACCGCGCTCCTCAAAAATGCGCACGAATGCCAGCGGAACCTTTTGCGGGCTTCCGTCGCACCCATGAATCATAACATGAAATAACATCAGCAGCTGGGCGTAGGTGGGGGTGGTTGTGCTGGTGGCTGAAACATTCGTACGTGGTTTCAAGGACACGCAGGAGAACCAGGGGGAACCATGGAACATGGGGCTTGCACGGGCATAATGAACTTCAACACCTGTTTGTGGAGGTAATGCTACAGCAGAGTGCACCTGCAAGGTGATGGGAAGGGGGATGAGTTTTATGGCTTCGCAAAGGGTCTGGGAAGCCCAGTTGAATTGTTGACGACTGAATATGCCAACAACGCTAGCACTTACAAAAATTGTGTCGTTTGAGTACCCCACATCAGTGAGTGCCTGCCCGATAAGGTCGATGTTGTTCCCATGAAGTGCCCGGTAGTTGTTCCACAGATCGTCCCCACGTCTAGCCTCAACGATGTGGGGCAAAGTCACTGCCGTGGATGTGCTGGTCAACACAGCATGGCCAAGTGCTGCAGCCTGTGGTTTAGGGAGAATTGGTAACTTGGAGAGGACTGAATGGTCTGAGTGATGATGGGAGATGAGTGGCACATGCTAGAAAGGATGCCATGTGTGTGAGGGTTAGGGGAAGATACGAGGATGTGGGTGAGAGGCCAAAGAGGCGTTGGGGATGTGGGTTGAACGGGTATGGGGGTGTGAGCCAGAGATCAAAATGAGGATGTGAGTGAGAGGCAGAGGTGAGGTTGAGGATGTGGGTTCAAGCATGTAAGAATGAGAATGGGGGTAAGATGCAGAGGTGGGACTGAGTAAGGTTGTGTGATGCAAAGGAGGGAATGAGTAAGTGGGTGTGAGGCCAATGTGGGAATGGGGAAAGGTGTGTGAGGCAGAGGTGGGAAAGAGGAGGTAGGTGTGAGGCAGAAGTTAGAATGAGTAGGTGGGTGTGAGGCAGAGGTTAGAATGAGTATGGGGGTAAGATGTAGAGGTGGGAGTGAGTATGGTTGTGTGAGGCAGAGGTGGGAATGAGTAAGTGGGTGTGAGGCTAAGGTGGGAATGGGGAAGGGTGTGTGAGGCAGTGGTTGGAAAGAGGAGGTGGGTGTGAGGCAGAAGTTAGAATGCGTAGGTGGATGTGAGGCAGAGGTTAGAATGAGTATGGTGGTGTGATTCAGAGGTTAGAACGAGGATGTGGGTGTGAAGCAGAGGTGTGAATGAGTAGGTGGGTGTGATGCAGAGGTGGGAATGAGTACTTGGGTGTGAGGCTAAGGTGGGAATGAGGAGGGGGGTGTGAGGCAGAGGTTAGAATGAGTATGAGGGTGTGAGGCAGAGGTTAGAATCAGTATGAGGGTGTGAAGCAGAAGTTAGAGGGTGAGCAGAGGGTGGATAAATGGGATGTAGCGATGCAACATCACGAGGTGAGGGCTATAAGCATATATCGGTGCATTGACAGGCCATCTAACACTTATAAACATAGGGTTTCATATGCATTCAACCAAAGCATAAAGAAAGAGCTATGGGTCACCTAAGACGAACGGGAAGGTAAGTAGAACAAGATGGGATGAATATGGGGATAGGGCGCAAGCGAGTGGGTTAAGCGTGCTTATGTTACCTTGGCAGCGGCTGTTTGTTTTGGTCTGGGGGCAGATAATGCACTTTGAATACTCAAAACGGCGCTGCGCACAACACATGTATGCATGATGGCATCTTCAAAGTCCCGATAGTTGACGCTCGGAATGGACGCTTGCACGTAGCGGCATGTGCATGCTCAAACGGCTGGGTTGAGAACTCGGCCGGAATACCCCGACTTCTGATCGCTTCAGGGAAATGCAGCAGGGCATGCACTTTCACAAGCTTGTACCTGTAGCCATCCCGGGGAAGACACGTTTTCAGCAACCGTACGAGCCTGGAACGGGCCATCAGATGAGCAACAGAGCAAAACGGCATCCGTCAACATAGTGGACAGCCAACATAGCACCCATAGATTAACCCCTTGTAGTTCCATCCTATTGGATGTATGATGGGATGTGGAGGGTATGGAGAGTATGGCTTGACAAACATCACTCACTCTTTGGTGTCAACCAAATATTGACGCAGAAGCGACTCGGTGTACTTCAGGACACAGAAGTAGTTGTGGTACCATTTCACAAAGAAACGAAGCGCCTCCATTTTCACGTTTGGTATTTGTAAACCCTCCATAATGAGAAGGACCACCTGCATCATTACAGTGTACACATCACTGAGGTGACAACCAAATATTTGCATCAGATTTTGGTACTTGAAAGATTGCCAAAAGGAAGTCACTAAAACTAGTGCAAGTCAAAATCTGCGCCTAACAGTCCATCATACCCGGATCATGTTGTCATGCTCGGCTGCGGAGAAGTTTGCCCCCGGTTTGAAATAGCGCCCATCCGGTGGTAGATGGAACCTCCAGAATCTGTCATCTCGACGAAGGACTCCTACCCGCCTGCCCATGTACACGCTAGGTTGATGAGTATTTGAATGGACAAAAAGGAAACCAAGACCACTGAGATCATGATTAATACGCACCTGTTCATCTCGCGAACGTTCTCTCCCTTCACGAGGCCCTCGAGGACGTACATCCACAAGCCGATTAGTATGGCGTGCAACACATCCGGTGGTACAGCTAGGTATGGATTACACCATGGCTCATCTACCTCCTTCCCACGACCAAACTTCCAAAGAATGGACTGCCAATATCAAATGAGCGATGAATATGCAATAACGAGATTGTTAAGTCCCCAATAGTATGGAACCCCGCTTCCCATCACCTGGTAGCGTTGCAATCACCACCTATCCTGTTCAACTCATGACAATCCATTCTCTAGCATGGCATTATCCATCCCTACTCTTGCTGGCCTAGTCGAGTCTCGAGAAGGCACCTTCACCCTAGCCCAACTCCCCCTTTCCCCCTTCTGCCCTCCCTCATTCCGCCCCCAACCTCTCCTTCTCACGCACTGTTTCCATATTTCCCGAACCACCTCGCCCATGTCGGAGTTCCTCCACTCCCACACCAGACACGCCGTCCATTTCCACTCTTACCATCCTACCCCATGAGTATTTTGACCAGCCATACTTTCCATGACAAATAAGCCACCTACACCCCTTGTAATCCCTCATCTGCCCTTTCAAATATTCTGCCACTTGCCAATCTCTTCCCACCACCTATCTCACGACTCCCACCATACCCATTACCCCAGCCCAAAATCATTGTTGCCCAGAATCCCTCCAATCCACCAACTCACTGGTGATTTGTGGGTCGAGTAGTCTTCTCTTGTTTTGTCATCGGCCTCCTGAGCTAGCCAGGTTTGCGTCTTCACATCTCTCGGATGGTTTAGAGTAGGGTCCATCACATCCAAGTTGTCCTTGTGCACATAGCACTGTGAGCACGGACGGTTTGAGAAGTGTTGCATTGTAGAAATCACCCGAGAGCCCTCGGGGTAATCGGTGATCCACGAGAAGAGCTTAGGCCACACGGTGAATACGTTGCCCTATGGATCCGTCAAGGGCATGGACCTGGATGAATAGAAAGGGAGTACATATCGAATAAGACGGTTAATAGACCTGGATATATGTTACAATGCCATTTAGCCACACGCCGTAAAATACCATGCCATGGAAGGATTTTCAACCTACCCGTTGCATGCAGCAATGATCTTTTCAAGAACAATGTCGATGCATTTTTGGTAGAGCTCCACCTTCTGTGCGGGTTCCATATCTGAGTCGGCGATTGGGAGAAGGGCCACCAAAGCCCTCCCATGTTCGGTCCACCGTAGGTGAAGTGGTATGTTGGTGCAGCCCAAGTACAATGGCCATGCCTTCAACCGCTCATTTCCACTCAAGAGTGTCTCGTCGCTTGCCACAATGAGGGGGCAAACCAGCTCGTCATCTGATAATCCCTTCTGCAAATCATCAGCACATTAACACTGTTAGCGCTAACAAAAACATGTCCCCACCATCGCTGCCACCTCCTCATCTCCCCATTGCATCACACACACCTCCTCATCTCCCCACTGCCTCACACACACCTCCTCATCTCCCCATTGCCTCACACACACCTCCTCTCCCCACTGACTCACACACACATCCTCATCTCCCCACTGACTCACACACACCTCCTCATCCACATCTCTGCCTCACACCCACCTCCTCATCTACATCTCTGCCTCACACCCACCTCCTCATCTACATCTCTGCCTCACACCCACCTCCTCATCTACATCTCTGCCTCACACCCACCTCCTCATCTACATCTCTGCCTCACACCCACCTCCTCATCTACATCTCTGCCTCACACCCACCTCCTCATCTACATCTCTGCCTCACACCCACCTCCTCATCTACATCTCTGCCTCACACCCACTTCCTCATCTACATCTCTGCCTCACACCCACCTCCTCATCTACATCTCTGCCTCACACCCACCTCCTCATCTACATCTCTGCCTCACACCCACCTCCTCATCTACATCTCTGCCTCACACCCACCTCCTCATCTACATCTCTGCCTCACACCCACCTCCTCATCTACATCTCTGCCTCACACCCACCTCCTCATCTACATCTCTGCCTCACACCCACTTCCTCATCTACATCTCTGCCTCACACCCACCTCCTCATCTACATCTCTGCCTCACACCCACCTCCTCATCTACATCTCTGCCTCACACCCACCTCCTCATCTACATCTCTGCCTCACACCCACCTCCTCATCTACATCTCTGCCTCACACCCACCTCCTCATCTACATCTCTGCCTCACACCCACCTCCTCATCTACATCTCTGCCTCACACCCACCTCCTCATCTACATCTCTGCCTCACACCCACCTCCTCATCTACATCTCTGCCTCACACCCACCTCCTCATCTACATCTCTGCCTCACACCCACCTCCTCATCTACATCTCTGCCTCACACCCACTTCCTCATCTACATCTCTGCCTCACACCCACCTCCTCATCTACATCTCTGCCTCACACCCACCTCCTCATCTACATCTCTGCCTCACACCCACCTCCTCATCTACATCTCTGCCTCACACCCACCTCCTCATCTACATCTCTGCCTCACACCCACCTCCTCATCTACATCTCTGCCTCACACCCACCTCCTCATCTATCTACATCTCTGCCTCACACCCACCTCCTCATCTACATCTCTGCCTCACACCCACTTCCTCATCTACATCTCTGCCTCACACCCACCTCCTCATCTACATCTCTGCCTCACACCCACTTCCTCATCTACATCTCTGCCTCACACCCACCTCCTCATCTACATCTCTGCCTCACACCCACCTCCTCATCTACATCTCTGCCTCACACCCGCTTCCTCATCTACATCTCTGCCTCACACCCACCTCCTCATCTACATCTCTGCCTCATGCAAATGGACTGTGCCATTGTGTCTTCCATTCTCGACATACATACCTGCGCCTCCTCCCATAATGTTCCTGTCTCTGCCGCCCCATAAACCCTGTCCTCTCCTTCATATGTTGGTGCTGCTCTGTGTACGAAACCTTTAGCATTCCTCGGGTCTGCCCACAGCCGACGTAGCGCCTACAGTGGCAGTATGAGAGCCTTAATACTTTGCAACAACAGCTTATGAAATGGGCTCATGTACGCTGCCTGGAAGCATGAACATTGTACCTCCAGAGGGTCAATGAACTTCAGAATGAAGACAGTGGGCCACCCATCCACACGAACTTCCACTGTGATGTACTTGCGCTTCTCTATACCCAAGATCTCCAACGCATACTTGTCAATTGCGTATTTCCCATTCCAGTCCCATAGTGCGTTGGGATCGAAGCCCTTGTTCTTCACGAGGCGGAAGAAGTATGCAATGTCACTCCCGCACATCCCCATTCCCTTGTTGCACTGAGCCATGAAGTGGTATGTCTCGCGGCGCGTGTCAAACACCGGGACGGTTTCGTCCTCGTTCAAGTCCGCAAAAAACTGACTTCCAGCGAATTCTCTCGTCACGCCAGGGGTGTTGTCATTGACAAATATCGGTGGAGCATTTTGCTCACCTCCCACATCGCCCGCGCTCCCCGGAGCGTTTAGTGGTGGATGGGCATGCTGCACTGTAGACGGTGGCGGGACCAGCACAGTGGGTCGCGGAAAGTCAATCGTACCGAACCGTGCGCGCTTTCGGATACATTCTTCGTTGCCACGTTCATGGTTTGAAACGCCGCTCTCTGTGTCAAACGTCGCCTCACAGAACATGCATCCGTAGTGAGACATTTCCTGCATGCAAAACAAAACGACATGTCGGTAACATGAGAATTGGACGTGCACTAGAATGTACTTCACGTACTTCACTAGAAGTGCCTTACGTACTTCACTCCTTACTAGCGTCGAACCTCAACACGTTACACCAGTGTGTTTTGCTTAACGGTTGTTAGACCAAGTATTTGTAAACTCACCGTGATTGTCGTGATTACTAGACTGATATGTAGCAGGATGTGAAACAACCTAGCCATCATGCTGCCTGAGGCAACATTTGAGTGGTGTGAAGCTGCCTTTGTTGCTAGTTAGCACGGATTTGGTCAGAGCCTTTATAATCTGTCGAGCAGAGGTGAGTCGGTCAGGCGGATTGGGTGGGAGGGGGGTTTGTTCTGGCAATCAGGAGATGAACAGCGTCTGTAGCGCTCGAATCGCCACGCTCCCCAATTTCCGAATTTGAATGTACGCTACATCGGGAGTACGCGGCGCGATGTTACGATTCGGTGGTTTGAGAATACCTTGTTGAACAGAAATGTGATGAAAAATATGTACACCGTCAAATGGGAGTTATTCAGGCAATACAAGAGTGTAAATGTGGCTTAAACTATAACACTCTTCTACATACGATGTAGCATGTAGCTTCACATAAACTGGTATATTGTGTCCTGCTCATAAAATATAGATTAGAAAGAGTTGCACCACCTGCCAATATCCATGCAAGCAAGCCATCTGTGGACGAGTATTCACATTCAACGACGCAGGGACATATGTTTGGTTCCCCCACACGGAAGTCCTCTGTAGCATATGATCCCTCGGCATTTACGGAATCCGTGCAAACAGGGAGTAAGGGCAAGTAACAGCCATCCACTCTCACAAATGAGAGGTACCTAAGAGCACCCGTGCTGATAGGGGTCTGAAAGCCTCAACAATGCCTGTATATTGTGGGCATTAACAGAGATTTGATCCAGGGTTGCATGTTGTAACAAGAAACAGTGTAAGTATTCACGGCAGACACAATCAGGCTTACGAATGGAAAGCAATGCGTCACATATCTCCTCCAGCTGGCCTATAATCCCGCCTCCTTGCTATGCAATTGGCCATGCCGCTCAGTCACACTGAATTCGTGGCCACTCCTTCATCCTATTAATCAGCCCTTAGGCTACGTCCATGTGGTCGGGTTTCCAACGGGTGACACAAGCGTGCAGCAGGGCGCTTAACTATCTCACGAGTGTGCGAGCAACCCATATTGGCCTACTACAAGCCTGAGAACCGATTGCCATTAGAGGTCACGGCGCAGTGGCTTTCTGGGCTTTACTTCCTGTGGATGTTGCCGTGGTGTGTACTGATGATTCTAGGCCGGATGGTGGGTTACAATAAGAGAGTAAGCGGGAGGTGAACATGTAATGCTAACTACAAGCTGAGTGATCGCGTTGTTGAATTATGAGAAGCTGAGGAAGAATCTATTGATGAAGCTGAGAGACAGAGCTGTCGAAAAATGGGAATAAAGGAGGGGGTTGCTGAGTGTGAAGCACAACGGGGTGTGTGAGGTGAACCATGAGAGTGAAATTGTGGATTTGAACCCATGCCAACCAACGAAATGTGCCAGGTGGGCTCGACTTGCGGGATTTCAAGCAGCATCTGCTTCGAAAACGTGTCGACTCGAAAGTGTGTTGGGCGTTTTTGGGCCAATAGACGACCGTTCGTCGCGACCATCCAACCCCTTGAATGCACATACACGAACCTCAAGATTACAAGCTGAGGTGGATCGTTTCCCCGTTGTCGAGTGCCTCTCAAAGTCGACATGACGTGCCAAAGTGTGTTACATGGTGGCATGGCAGGCGTAAATCAGATGAGAGATTTAGATTCTGAAAATTTCAGACAAGCCCCTGACGAAAACATGATGCGACAGCAGAGTGTCGTTTCGAACACTAGGCGTTGGTTTGCAAGCCATCGCCTGGGTATGCCAGAGAAAGAGAGGAAAGCACGTGTGACTGAATAAATCCTTTACAGAATCGAGCAAACATCTGCGAGGCCAATCATGTGAATACCTTCCATGTACGTTCTTGTAGTTGGCGCGGCGCAGAAACTCTATCCATGGGAAACGCTAAGGTGAATGTGAAAATGCATCGCGGAGAAACGGACGACTTTTGTCTTCCCCATTTTCCCCTTCCCGTCGTCCCCATTTTCCCCTTCCCGTCGTCCCCATCTTCCCCTTCCCATCGTGGCCATTTTCCCCTTCCAATCGTCCCCATTTTCACCTTCCAGTAGTCCCCACGTTCCCTTCCGGCCGTCCCCGCTTTCCCATTCCCGTCGCCCCCACCTTCGGCTCCCCGTTGTCCCACCTTCCCCTTCCCGTCGTCCCACCTTCCCCTTCCCGTCGTCCCACCTTCCCCTTCCCGTCGTCCCACCTTCCCCTTCCCGTCGCACCTATTTTCCCCTTCCCATCGTCCACATTTTCCCCTTCCAATCGTCCCCATTTTCCCCTTCGAATCGTCCCCATTTTCCCCTTCCAATCGTCCCCATTTTCCCCTTTCCAATCGTCCCCATTTTCCACTTCCAATCGTCCCCATTTTCCCCTTCCAATCGTCCCCATTTTCCCCTTCCAATCGTCCCCATTTTCCCCTTCCAATCGTCCCCATTTTCCCCTTCCAATCGTCCCCAATTTCCCCTTCCAGTAGTCCCCACGTTCCCTTCCCGTCACCCCCACCTTCCCCGTCCCGTCATCCCACCTTTCCCCTTCCCGTCATCATGAATAAGGTAAGTGTGAGGCACAACGAACCTTCTCCATTCGGCTCCTCAACGCACTCAGCTCTTCTTCTCCCTAAGGATACTATTTGTTATGCACATACACACGCCCATCTCCACTTCCCTCCATTCCGCTACCCCCAACTCAGTTCCCACGTCTCCCTTTTCCGTCCACACCCCCGGTCCACTTACTCCCAACTCACAGCTCACTTTTCCTCCTTCTACCACTTACTCTCAGCTCACATCTATGGCTCCCACACCTAAACCCACCTCCATCACCACTTACTCTCATCTCACCTCCCCAACCACCATTCTCCCGTTCTCCGATCCTCATCAACTCCCGCCCACACATCCTCATCCCTCTCCCCCCCCTCCCCCCAATTCTCCATTACCCATCTCCTCCCGTCCACTTGATGTCATCTCTATCCGTTCCCCCGGTGTCACCCCCTCCAACCCCAAACTCGTCTTCCCCTCTGCCTCCCCTCGCTGTCCCTTTCGGACCCTCCCATCATCTCCCCCTTTGCCTCACCTTAATTCTCCCTCTGCCTCCCATCATCTCCCCCTTTGCCTCCCCTCAATTCTCCCTCTGCCTCCACTAATCCTCCCCTCTGCCTCCACTCATCCTCCGCTCTGCCTCCACTCATCCTCCCCTCTGCCTCCACTCATCTGCCCCTTTGCCTTAGATCATCTAACCCTGAGTATCTCCTCAAATGCGAACCGCGCTTGGGTGAATAGTGCTGACAGCGCGGCAAGGAACATAGGCGACAACAATGTGGAAGGCACGCCAACCACCGTGGTTTGCAAACGTGGCACCTTGGTTATATGTGGAAAATATATGAGTTCTTTGAAGTCAGCCAAAACTATTCTAAACATTACCGCACCCATCGTGACTCCCTGCACTCACACTCCATACACCCATCAAGACTCGCTGCGTCGAACATCTCCCTCTCCTCTCCCCTGCTCCTCCCCCTCCCATTCCCCCCCCCGGTCCACCGTACGATTCTGGAACATCCATGCACTGACAGGCGACACCGGCGCGCACAAAACCCACTCTCCTGTCATGGGCAGGTTGATTGGAGGCAATCGCAACACCTCCACTATCCCTGACACCGTCACCGCCCTCAACTCTATGCTCGCTCTGTACGCTCCATGCTTGAGAGCCTTAGTCGACACCATGTACGGGAGCACTCTGACAAAGCTGGTTGTACTAGCGAATAATCATATTTTCTTCTCATCTACCCCGGTGCACTGAACCTCTCCGCTTCCACTCTGAACCTCTCGTGATTTCCTCTTCCCTTCCACTCTGAGCCTCTCGTGATTCCCTCTTCCCTTCCACTCTGAACCTCTCGTGATTTCCTCTTCCCTTCCACTCTCAACCACTCGTGATTTCCTCATCCCTTCCACTCTGAACCTCTCATGATTTCCTCTTCCCTTCCACTCTGAACCTCTCGTGATTTCCTCTTCCCTTCCACTCTGAGCCTCTCGTGATTTCCTCTTCCCTTCCACTCTGAACCTCACGTGATTTCCTCTTCCCTTCCACTCTCAACCTCTCGTGATTTCCCTGCCCTTACCCTCCTCGCATCCCTGTTGTGCCCCTACTCTGCTCCCCGCCCATGTGGTATCCCCGGCCCCATCTCTCCTCTGCACTCTTCTCCATCGATTGCAAGATAGCAGACCCTTCTGGAACTCACTTGTCTGCTGTGCCCTTCCTCTCTCCTTCCCCCCGCCCAGCACAGATGTGAGATAGAGATTGTTTATGGGGCCGCTCCCGTAGCCTTCGCATTGCCAACCCACCGTCACAACCTCCTCTTGACCTATCCGGCAACTTCCTCTACTCCCCCACCGCTTCCTACTCTGCTCAAACCACCACAACTACCCCCCCAACATAGTCAATCAACAGCACAGCAACACCAATGCCTCGTGGATCGTCATCAAGTGTGTTCCCCTGTCCTGCCCCTGCTCTGCTCACATACCTCCTTTCCTCTCCTGCCTTTACACCCTCTTGCGCCTCTCTGCCTCCAAGCGCTTCCACCTCCCATGGACAACACCAACGTGCACAAAAGATGTGAGCCGCTGCCTGCCTTCCCTCCTGCCCTCCCCCCAACTTCCCCTTTGCCTCCCCTTATCTTCCCCCCTATCTTCATCCATCCTCACCTCCGCCTCCCCTCATCCTCCCCTTTGCCTCTCCTCATCTCCCCTCCGCCACCCCTCATCTGTGAAGCGCACCTGGGGTGATAGAGATGACAGCGCAGCTAAAAATAGAGGCGACATCGATGCAGGGGACGATGGGGAAGTGAAACCATGGAGACCCTGAGCATAGCACAAGAATAGGCTTGGCTAGATACGTGATGTGGAATTCTGAAACAAAGTTTATGTTCGGAGTTTCCGTAAGGCCCCAAAGTGAAGGAAAATATGCTACACACCACCATCTCAACGTTGAAACCGCACCATGCCGTCCGCATGCCAATCCTCATATGCCCTTTCACGTGCTATTGGTCAGATACATTTATATACCAGTAAGGAGCTCCGGACCGCACCATAATGACACTACTTTGAACTTTTGAAAAAACTTACATATTGCAGCCACAAGCCACGAGAAACAGTGCGGAGCTGAAAGTAGACAACGCTTGAGATATGGATTGTCGTTTCAGCTCCGGACTGTCCTAACACGAACCCTCTAACACACTTGCTTTAACCCTATTTTAAACGCCCATGACTTTCTCGACGTTGTGTTCTTTCATTTGCCTGTTCGTGCAACACATTCTCCAACAGAAAGTCATGAAGGTTATTTTTATAACAAATTCAATATAAACTCTTTTTACAAAAGAGAATGAAACCCTGATAGCACTCCAAAGGTGTACATACAGACACCTAATCCCAGCGTGCGGTCTGTGTTTCTGCCGGAGTGCACTGAAACTTGCGCTCCTGGCAAGCCGCTCTGTCTAGGCGTTTCAGAAGCGCAACCCGTTTCCCCGCAACGCCCAATCTGACGGGGCTTGTGCAGGTTCTGAAACTGGCGGAATGTTTTGCTCCCCGGCTGCCTGTCTAAACAGTCACTTCCGTTAACCTTAAGTAACGCGATCGAGTTCCTAGTAACCCTAACAACTTGAGAGTTCATGTTTCACGATACTCTGGCTGGACGCTCGGGGGAGGGATAACACAACCTCATTCGTCGCTTAGAACTTAGAAACCTGTTAGACATGAATAGTAAGGGTCTCCATAGACCACGCCTTCAATAAACCCGTGTATCTTCCCGTTTTTTGCACGTTCAGCAATCCTGAGCAAGGAAACCGTGAATCCAGCGGTGTGTTCCGTGGGTCCTGGACGACGACCTCGCTTATGGACCGTCGGATCTGACAACCGTGCATGATTGACAGTCGTAAAACTATCAGGTGTGACTGTAATGTATGAACACCCACAAGGCCACTGTGCTTCCACCGATATGCAGGTCGATGTGGCTTGAGTGGTCACTTTTCACACCCCTCCACCCACCTCTACATGACGCCCTTCATTCAATTGTTGATGGCAGCACTCCTCCCCATCAGTTTCTCGCATTAGGGTTTCAATTGCAAATTGTACTGCTCTGAACGATACCCTTTCTTAGCTTGCTGCTATTCATCCGTCAAACAATCATGGTGACTTACAATAGCATGAAGTAGCAGGAAATATGTTTTATTTTTGGTGTCTTAAAGAGCTGCTGCGCAACTGATCTCTAAGCCATAACGACGCTGCTCATTGTGGTTTCGCCACTATGATGCAAGTGGCTGCTGGAAACGTCATTACATCAAATGGTCGCGGCCGTGGTGGACGTAGAGGCGGAAGCCGGGGAGGGCGGGGTGGAAAAGGACCGCCGGAACCCCTCCCAGAAGGTGTGTCTTATCAATGAGTGCGTCTTTTGTTGCCTTCGAAATGCCCAGTTACACCTTTGCAACGACTATGAGTAGTCCGCGTGATAAGCATAGTTTCTAACACGTTACATTGCTTGTGTCAACATTGCTTTTTGCACATTGCTTGCAGGAAGCCGTGGATGGAAGCCATTGGACTACGTGATGGAGAATGCCAAGAACACCACGTCCCAATCGGACCCGGAGGACACAAGTGGACATGCTCCAGTGATGGCGACGACCGAGACACAGCAACCACGTGTGCAAAATGCAGCCAAAAGCCAAGTGTACAAGACTCGTAGTAAAAAGCCATCTGTTGGCGCCACCGCCTTCACTTCTGGCCAGCAGCTGCACTCTACTGCTGCTCCCGCAACTCCTGGCGCCACCGCCTTCACTTCTGGCCAGCAGCTGCACTCTACTGCTGCTCCCGCAACTGCTGGCGCCACCGCCTTCACTTCTGGCCAGCAGCTGCACTCTACTGCTGCTCCCGCAACTGCTGGCGCCACCGCCTTCACTTCTGGCCAGCAGCTGCACTCTACTGCTGCTCCCGCAACTGCTGGCGCCACCAACCTCAATTCTGGCCAGCAGCTGCACTCTACTGCTGCTTCCGCAACTGCTGGCGCCACCAACCTCAATTCTGGCCAGCAGCTGCACTCTACTGCTGCTCCCGCAACTGCTGGCACCACCAGCCTCACTTCTGGCCAGCAGCTGCACTCTACTGCTGCTTCCGCAACTGCTGGCGCCACCAACTTCACCTCTGGCCAGCAGCTGCACTCTACTGCTGCTGCTCCCGCAACTGCTGGCGCCACCGCCTTCACTTCTGGCCAGCAGCTGCACTCTACTGCTGCTGCTCCCGCAACTGCTGGTGCCACCGCCTTCACTTCTGGCCAGCAGCTGCACTCTACTGCTGCTCCCGCAAATGCTGGCGCCACCGCCTTCACTTCTGGCCAGCAGCTGCACTCTACTGCTGCTCCCGCAACTGCTGGCGCCACCGCCTTCACTTCTGGCCAGCAGCTGCACTCTACTGCTGCTCCTGCAACTGCTGGCGCCACCGCCTTCACTTCTGGCCAGCAGCTGCACTCTACTGCTGCTCCCGCAACTGCTGGCGCCACCGCCTTCACTTCTGGCCAGCAGCTGCACTCTACTGCTGCTCCCGCAACTGCTGGCGCCACCGCCTTCACTTCTGGCCAGCAGCTGCACTCTACTGCTGGTCCCGCAACTGCTGGCGCCACCGCCTTCACTTCTGGCCAGCAGCTGCAGTCTACTGCTGCTCCTGCAAGACACCGCCTTCACTTCTGGCCAGCAGCTGCACTCTACTGCTGCTCCCGCAACTGCTTGCGCCACCGCCTTCACTTCTGGCCAGCAGCTGCACTCTACTGCTGCTCCCGCAACTGCTGGCGCCACCGCCTTCACTTCTGGCCAGCAGCTGCACTCTACTGCTGCTCCCGCAACTGCTGGTGCCACCGCCTTCACTTCTGGCCAGCAGCTGCACTCTACTGCTGCTCCCGCAACTGCTGGCGCCACCGCCTTCACTTCTGGCCAGCAGCTGCACTCTACTGCTGCTCCCGCAACTGCTGGCGCCACCAACTTCGCTACTGGCCAGCGGCTGCCTACCCCAGTTGCTCCTCAAAATGACAGCCTCCCCTACTCAGGATTTGCCAGCCCTTCACAGCAGGTCTTCGTGCAATGTGACGTAGATTTCGAATCTGAGGAGTACGGAGAGGGTGCCGACGAATTCGACGAGATCTTCAACAACGTGACAGCGGGAACTGCATCTCCGGCTGTTGCTGCCAGCGGATCCAATGCTGCGGCATCCACCCATGCTGGTGTGGCACGTACGTCTGAGGGGATTAACAACGCTACAGTGCTTGCTGCAGGTGATGTCATCTCGCGGGCAGAGTTTGAGGCGCTGTCGGCCCAATTCCGGAAGGTGGAGCGCGAAAACGTGGCTCTAAGCAACCAAGTCAACTACCTCCGCCGCTTAAACCAGTCAGTTTCTGCCCGATCTGGTAGCCACGCAGGTGATGAGACCACGCCCAACGAAGGAGCATCAGCCGGAGCATTGGCTATGGATCCTGAAATTGTGCCGCAGGTCTACTTGTCTTCACGCCTGGCTGTTGGTCGCGCCATCGCCAATGCGTACCAGAACGGCGGCATTGTGTGCGGTGACAGCGTGGCGCCCGAGTACGAGTCATTTGCGGCTCAGCTTGCTGACGCTATGAAGAAGGTTCCGCCTCACAAAGGTGGACTTACTGTAAGCGTGAAGTTAATGTGCCATTGAAACTTGACTTGATTCAAGTTTTCAGCAAACCCTTAACCCCAGTCATTGAATCTTGCCTTGATAAATGTTTCCAGCAAACCTTCATCCCTTGTCATTGAAACTTGCCTTGATTTGAGTTAACCCGAACCTTAAACCCCAGTCATTGAGATTTCCCTTGTTTCTATACTGCTCAAACCCTGAACCCTTGTCTATGTAGTACGTAATCTACTGCCATGCACCCTATATCGCAGATTGTGATGAAAAAAACCGTGGACATCCTCATGTTCCAAACCCCGAACGACCGAGTCGACTATTGGCTGCCCCGAAGTAGTCTTCTCGGGGCTATGGAAGTTGCATTGGAGTACACCACGCAACAGCAGAAGTGGAATCTGATCCACGTCTACGAGTTCGATCTCGTTCGGCGCGGTTACATCCGAGACCAGCTCCAAGAGTTTCGAAACGATTGCTTGACGACTGGACGCTATGCGGTCATTAATGCGTTCGATTTATGCATTTCTCGACCGGACAAGCAACGGGCGGTGATGGGAACCGAAGACGTCACCAAGTTTCTGACAAAGTACAAGCCGGGTGAGTGGTAATTGAGATCTATGATACCCATTGCATTTTCACTCACAGCCATCTAGAACCCCCCCCCCCCCCCTTTTCCTGGCCTCCCCTCTCCCCTGATCTGTTGCCTTTTGCCCCCCATACACCTTTCACTGGCTTCCACTTTCACTCGTTTGAAACCATTTGACTTTCCATCACAGCAACTGCGTATCTGCCTTCCTTGACCTCCCCTCTCCCTCATTCTCCCTCATTCCCTCCCATTTATTCTGCCTTTTTGCCGTTCCCAAAACAGCAGCCCCGTAGTCGCCTTCTCTGTTCACCCCTCTCCCCCCTTGCGCTCCCCTCTGCTTTTCTCTCACAGCAACACCGTTACTGCCATCCTTGTCCTCCCATCTCCCCATGTTTGCTACCCTTTGGCTTTACCTCATATGAGCCCTAATCCCCACCTTACCCCCCCTCTCTTCCCAGGGCTGCTGCCCATAGCCTTTCCCTCTCAAAAACCCTCAAACCACCTTCCCTGGCCTCCACTCGGCCCTGTTCTGCTGCCTTTGGCGTTTGTATCACAACAACCCCGTACCCAACTTCAGTGTCCTGCCCTCCCAC